CCTTATAATATCCCTGCTGCCAAAACAGACACAAAAGCAGTGAACTGTGGGAAAGCCATGGCACCAGAAGTCAACCAACAGTCCCATGCCAAGCAGGCATTATGCAAAATAAGTGAAAGTAGAATGATAACTTTGTATTTGTTGAGAAGAAAAGATAGGCATTCAACAGTGCTGAGATTACTGCTAATATTACATCCAAGGGCTAATACCAAATTGAGTGGACTTGAGTAGAAGCAGTTAAAATACAACAAAAACTTACATCACCTAACATGTGAGATTATATTAGAAAAAAGTTTAAAACATTTAATTGCTTACATTGCTATTATTTCCTATATTATTCTATCATAACCACCCCGCCTCCAAAACATAATAACTCCATGGTGCATCTTTATTGTCAAATACTATGTGGCAGTTATAAATCTCTTTGCATGTCATGGAAATATTTCCAAGTTGTATTGTTAAGTGAAATAAGTCTCGGGTTTTCAGTGTCAAAACAACAAAAATAAATAACAAAAGAAAACCTTCCACATGTATGTGTGTGTGTATATATATATATATATATATATATATATATATATATATATGTAAATTAGTTTTTAAAATAAGACTACGTAGTAAACACTGTTGACCTTCAGAAGGCTTAACAGGTGATTTTCACTCTATATAATTCTATCCTGTTTACAGCTTTTTAAAAAACATAATATGAACCAATAGCCATGAATCACAAACTATTATAAGAAACAAGGGGGACTTGCCTGGTGGTCCAGGGGTTAAGACTCCGTGCTCCCAATACAGGGGGCCCGGGTTCAATCCCTGGTCAGGGAACTAGATCCCACATGCCCCAACTAAAAGCCCACATGCCACAAGTAAAGATCCCAAACACCACAACGAAGACCCTGTACGCGGCAAGAAAGATCCCGCATTCTGCAACTAAGACCCGGTGCAGTCAAATAAATAAATATTTTTTAAAAAAGAAAAAAAGAAAAGAAAACAAGGAAGTAACCTAAGTTTCTGTCACTAAGAATCTTACTAAAATAAAATAGGTAAACAACAAGGACCTACAGTATAGCACAGGGCACTATATTCAATACCATGTAATAAGCTATAATGGAAAAGAATCTGAAAAAGAAAAAAAATATATATATATATGTATATATATATATGAACTACTTTGCTGTACACCAGAAACTAACACAACATTGTAAATCAACTATACTTCAATATAAAAAAAAAAAAGGATCTTGCTAAAGAGCAGACTTGGGAATTATATATGTTTGTCAATATAGTGCTATATTCAAGTAATTTCTGGAAAAATCAAGACAAGTGGGTCTCAAAATGTCATTCATATTCCTTTTCCAAGATGAATTTTGTTACACTGCAAGTTTTTATTAGAAAACTTTACCTTTCTTGAAGCATGGATGTCAAAAAATGGCTTATTTCTGACTCTAAATGGTTCCTGTGTTTTGTCAATGAGCCCCGTCTTCATTTTTTCATGTCGAGGATTTATTATTTCTCGTTCTATACACTGCAGACGAATATTAAAATCACAATCTCCAACCGGCTGTGCCTGAATTAAACAAGACAATTATTTAAATTTCAACACTAAAAACTATTTTATCAGCATAATTATCAGGCTGATACACTATACACAGCAGTCTATATAAACAGCATCCTTTGGAGTTGCCCAGTGTATAGGCTGAACAACCACAAGTGCCAGCCCTGATGATTAATTTGACTAATGACAGAAGCATACCTAAACATGCAAATGCACACACATACAGTTACTTATTTTAATTATAAATATATAAAAGAGTATGGGAAAATGGTATAAATCTTCTCAAATATAAATTGATCCAAAGTTTTCACATCTGAATTAAAGTATTAATATACTCACTAATCATTTTTATTGTTTACATGAATTAGTAAAACCTGTGTAAAAACTAAAATCCACAGTCAGGAAAGTACAAGCAAACAACACACCAAAATAAGCAAAAAAGTCACCTATAATGTTTTTTGTTGTTTAAAGTGCTAACACTTTACAGCCTTCAAGAAGTAGAAGATATTTATTAAACAAATACATTCTCAACTCTGAAAACTAATACAGAAAAGGTTTATATGATATATTCAAAAATAAAAGTTTTCTTCTTCCCCCATATGTATATATACAGTATATATATTATGGTATATATATATATGCTTTGAACCATGAAATAAAAAGCACATGTATACTTTTGTATGAGCTGAGGGTAGGGGCTTGTCCTCTCCTAATGGTATATACAAATACAGCTATAACATATTACCTGGATGACAGTAGTGGTCCAGATTAGCAGCATCACCTCAATGGTATATCAAGTACCCTTTTCTTTATTCTGCAATTGGACACACTTCCATGCATTTTTCCCAACTTTTCTGCCTTCTTTCACTTCTCTAATCTATATCACTCAACCTAACATTTTACCCAACCTACTGTTTACAAAGGGGTGGCAACACTTGCTTAATCTGTGAACATTAAATACACCTCAAGGATGACTTTTTCTCAACTTTGGAAGGCTGACAATTTTGATACTCAGCAAAGAATATGGAGCAAGACAAGTGAGCAAGAGCTAGGTATAAGGTAGAATATATTCCCTTTACATAAAGGCATACGACTGTTTGTAAAGGGTATTTACTGAAGAAATGCTAGTTAATAAATAACCACACAGTCCATGTGCAAACTTTTCCATGTCACCTATGTCATCAACAAGGTTGAAAAACCTAAAATGTCAGGCTTATTTATTAGATGAATTGAGACCCTTATAAAATTAAAGTGAAACAAGCAAGCCCTCTTTTTAAGAAATAAAAAGTCTAAAAATTGTTTTAAAAATTTGTAAGTAGTCTAAATTCCCTCCTAGACTCTTCACTTTAAAATTCACCAAAACAACTAGAATAGATTGAAATCAAGTTCACCTTCAAATCTGTGTTGCCTATCACAAAGGAAGCTCCTGATAGATAGGTGTTGAATCGTTGAGAATAGACTACAGGAGGCTCTCAATAACTATTGACTAACTGGCCTCCCTGTTTTGAGTTCTTTCTCACTTTAAAACACTATCCACATGCCAGTGGAGTTATCCTTCAAAGCAATAAAAATAAGATCATATCATTACCATAACTAAAACCCTTCAGTAGTGTCCTATTATATACAGAACAAAGAACTAAGCTTAAATGTCTTATTCAGGTAATCTGGTCTCCTACCCACTAATCTATTCTCATTTCCTGCTATGTCTCACATCTCACCATACATTAAGTACACTAAAAACCACCTAATGCTCCTGACTTCTAAGGCTCACTCCTTCAAAATTAATCTGTATCACTTTCTCTGTCTACAACTCCACACTTCAAATAACTCAAGTATAGCCAGGGTAAGCTGGAATATTCTCACCTCTCTGGTACCTCTCATATATTTCTATATCTCCCATATATCTTTGACATTATACTTATGATACCATTATAATATTTTTTATATTTAAATCCCCATTCATAACACCACTGGTCTGCAAATTTCTTTTTTTGTTGTTTCTTTTGACCATACAGCATGTGGGATCTCAGTTCGCTGACTGGGGATCAAACCCATGCCCCCTGCAGTGGAAGCGTGGAGTCCTAACCACTGGACCGCCAGGGAAGTCCCTGCAAGTTTCTTTTGATTTTGTATCCAATCTAAACACATATCCGAACAATTGTGTATAATACATACATATTAATTTTTAATAAATTGCATACATGCACAACTGTATGTTATAAAACAGACAAAAATTGAATAATAGATTAAGAATAAACAGGAGTTCTCCAATTTTCTTTCCAAATCCCAATGAACTGTTATAGAAGTAGCCTCCTTTGAAGGTCAGGGCACTAAATCATAAACTCCCTAGAAGGCAAGAAATTATGTCCTATTCTTCTGGGCATACTCAATACCTAGACTAATACTTGACATATAAAAAATTATCAATGAAATTCTTGCTGTACAAAATAATAAACTAAGAAACTGAAAAGTTTCAAACAATTATTTCAAAAAAATTTTTCTAAGGGTGACCTTGATTTCATGATTCAAAATAAACAAAATGGTTAACCATCAATGAAAGCTCCACAGTATATTAAAGAATTAAATATATGACACTTTCAATTATAAATATATTCTATTATCAGAAATGTGAAAAACTGTGACTTAAAAAACCAATGAATTAGTCACTCCCTCTTGCGAGAGCACCAGAATCACAAGTAACTGCTGAACAATCATCAACAGGAAGACACTGGAACTCACCAAAAAAGATACCCCACATCCAAAGACAAAGGAGAAGCCACAATGAGACGGTAGGAGGGCCACAATCATAATAAAATCAAATCCCATAACTGCTGGGTGGGTGACTCACAAACTGGAGAACACTTATACCACAGAAGTCCACCCACTGGAGTGAAGGTTCTGAGCCCCATGTCAGGCTTCCCAACCTGGGGGTCCGGCAACAGGAGGAGGAATTCCTAGAGAATCAGACTTTGAAGCCTACTGGGAATAGATTGTAGGATTTCGACAGGACTGGGAGAAAGAGAGACTCCACTCTTGGAGGGCACACACAAAGTAGTGTGCGCATCAGGACCCAGGGGAAGGAGCAGTGACCCCATAAGAGGCTGAACCAGACCTACCTGCTAGTGTTGGAGGGTCTCCTGCAGAAATGGGGGGTGGCTGTGGCTCACCGTGGGGACAAGGACACTGGCAGCAGAAGTTCTGGGAAGTACTCCTTGGCATGAGCCCTCCCAGAGTCCGCCATTAGCCCCACCAAAGAGCTGGGTAGGCCCCAGTGTTGGGTCACCTCAGGCAAAACAAGCAACACCAGGGAACCCAGCCCCACCCATCAGCAGACAAGTGGATTAAAGTTTTACTAAGCTCTGCCCACCAGAGCAACACCCAGCTCTACCCACCACCAGTCCCTCCCAACAGGAAATGTGCTCAAGCCTCTTAGATACCCTCATCCACTAGAGGGCAGACTGCAGAAGCAAGAAGAACTACAATCCTGCAGCGTGGAACAAAAAGCACATTCATAGAAAGACAGACAAGATGAAAAGGCAGAGATCTATGTACCAGAAAAAGGAACAAGATAAAACCCCAGAAAAACAACCAAACAAAGTGGAGATAGGCAACCTTCCAGAAAAAGAATTCAGAATAATTATAAGGAAAGTGATCCAGGACCTCGGAAAAAGCATGGAGGCAAAGATCAAGAAGACGCAAGAAATGTTTAACAAAGACCTAAAAGAATTAAAGAACAAACACCTAGAAGAATTAAAGAACAAACAGAGATGAATAATACAATAACTGAAATGAAAAATACACTAGAAAGAATCAATAGCAGATTAACTGAGGCAGAATAACGGATAAGTGACCTGGAAGACAGAATGGTGGAATTCACTGCCACAGAACAGAATAAAGAAAAAAGAATGAAAAGAAATGATGACAGCCTAAGAGACCTCTGGGACAACATTAAACACAACAACATTCGCATTATAGGGGTCCCAGAAGGAGAAGAGAGAGAGAAAGGACCCGAAAAAATATGTGAAGACATTATAGTTGAAAACTTAAATAACATGGGAAAGGAAATAGCAACCAAAGTCCAGGAAACCCAGAGAGTCCCAGGCAGGATAAACCCAAGGAGAAACACACCGAGACACACAGTAGTCAAATTGGCAAAAAACAAAGAAAAATTACTGAAAACAGCATGGGAAAAACAACAAATAACATACAAGGGAACTCCCATAAGGTTAACAGTTGATTTCTCAGCAGAAACTCTACAAGCAAGAAGGAAGTGGCATGATATATTTAAAGTGATGAAAGGGAAGAACCTACAACCAAGATTACTCTATCCAGCAAGAATCTCATTCAGATTCGCTGGAGAAATCAAAAGCTTTACAGACAAGCAAAAGCTAAGAGAATTCAGCACCACCAAACCAGCTCTACAACAAATGCTAAAGGAACTTCTCCAACTGGAAAACACAAGAGAAGAAAAGGACCTACAAAAACAAACCCAAAACAATTAAGAAAATGGTCAAAGGAACATATGTATCGATAATTACCTTAAACGTGAATGGATTAAATGCTCCAACCAAAAGACACAAGCTCGCTGAATGGGAACAAAAACAAGATCATATACATGCAGTCTACAAGACACCCACTTCAGACCTAGGGACACATACAGACTGAAAGGGAGGGGATGGAAAATGATATTTCATGCAAATGGAAGTCAAAGAAAGCTGGAGTAGCAATACTCATATCAGGTAAAATAGACTTTAAAATAAAGAATGTTATAAGAGACAAGGAAGGACACTACATAGTGATCAAAGGATCAAACCCAGAAGAAGATATAACAATTGTAAATATATATGCCCCAACACAGGAGCACCTCAATACATAAGGCAACTGTTAACAGCTATAAAAAAGGAAATTGACAGTAACACAATAATAGTGGGGGACTTTTAACACCTCACTTACACCAATGGACAGATCATCCAAACAGAAAATTAATAAGTAAACACAAGCTTTAAATGACA